AAAAAAAAAACACATGATAAGCATGACATCTTAGCGTTGTGCATCTCACTCTGGCAGCGCTGCTGATGTTCATTAGGAGCATTAAAAAAAAAAAACACTAAAAGGTGATTGGTTGTAAGGCACTTGGTAGTGTCTACCTGCTGCCCTCATTCAACCCTCTGCTGCCAGCTCAGCAGGTCTGGTGCAGCTGCTACCATGCTACTCTGCCACCCAGCACCATACTCCCATATTCACCAGCTCATCCAGCCGCCTGGGAGGGCCTGCAGCAGCAGTAGCAGCAGCAGCACCACCACCACCACCACAGAAGTCAAGAACTTGCTTATCGATCCTTATCACCAGTGAATGCAAGCAGAAGCAAAAGTGCCCGGAAATTTCTACAGAGGGACAGTGAGGGTTGTTGTAGACATGAAATAGCCAGGCTCGCAGGATGATTCCATATCAGCTGCAGAAATCCTCCCAGTATCGCAGAAATCTTACTCTCCTCTGCCTTTTTTGAAGGCTTTTGGTGCTTAAACAGCTACCGCAACGAGCATCTGCTTTGTGATTGTAGGAGGGAGAGAAGAATTACGATGAGGCACGCTGCCCATGAGTATCTGCCTCTCTTGAATTGATGCCATGACACACACAAGAGCGAAACTGCTTCTGAAAAAAGGGGTTTCAGCCCCGCTCACCCACCCAAGGGGTTTCAGCCCCGCTCACCCACCCAAGGGGTTTCAGCCCCGCTCACCCACCCAAGGGGTTTCAGCCCCGCTCACCCACCCAAGGGGTTTCAGCCCCGCTCACCCACCCAAGGGGTTTCAGCCCCGCTCACCCACCCAGGGGGTTTCAGCCCCGCTCACCCACCCAAGGGGTTTCAGCCCCGCTCACCCACCCAAGGGGTTTCAGCCCCGCTCACCCACCCAAGGGGTTTCAGCCCCGCTCACCCACCCAGGGGGTTTCAGCCCCGCTCACCCACCCAAGGGGTTTCAGCCCCGCTCACCCACCCAAGGGGTTTCAGCCCCGCTCACCCACCCAAGGGTTTTCAGCCCCGCTCACCCACCCAAGGGGTTTCAGCCCCGCTCACCCACCCAAGGGGTTTCAGCCCCGCTCACCCACCCAAGGGGTTTCAGCCCCGCTCACCCACCCAAGGGGTTTCAGCCCCGCTCACCCACCCAAGGAGTTTCAGCCCCGCTCACCCACCCAAAGGGTTTCAGTCCCCCACTCCTCGCCCTCTCACTCCACTTACCTTGGGGGAATCAGGCCCCCACCATCGCCCCTCACAAAACTTATCTTGGGGTTTCAACCCCCTTATCAGGACCCCACCATTGCCCCTCAATCAATTCACCCTGGGGTTCCATCCCCCCTCTCTCCTCGCCCTCTCATTCCATTTACCCTGGGGGATTCAGGCCCTCACCATTGTCCCTCACTCAACTCACACTGGGGGTTTCAGGCCGCACTCACGTACCCAAGGGGGTTCAGGCCGCACTCACCACCCAAGGGGGTTCAGGCCCCACTCACCACCCAAGGGGTTTCAGGCCCCACTCACCACCCAAGGGGTTTCAGGCCGCACTCACCACCCAAGGGGATTCACGCCCCACTCACCACCCAAGGGGTTTCAGGCCCCCTTCCCTCTCACCCACCCACCCAGCCCATCCCCACACTCACCTGCCAGCAGTAGGAGCAGCAGAAAGCCCACTTCCTTTAGGAAACAGCACCCCCAGAGGCTGTGCCTTGTGGGGCGAAGTGTGGTAGTGGAAAATTGCTTCCAGCCCAAGACTCAAATCCCACCCCTGACGTAGCCAGAGCTGACGCGAACCAGAGCCGCCGGCCGGTCGGCTCTGACGGTGTCCATTAGGCCTTGAACGCCAGATCGGTTACTTGAGCACCGAGTGCCGTGCCGCGCAGATTCCACCCTCCACACGCCACCACCACAAGACACAACCCCAGGAGATGCTGACCCTAAGGCAGTGAACTCCCCGCTTGCTCCCATGCTCCCCACCGAACAACCCCACACTTCGCCCCCACGCGTCCTTACCTGTACCTACCACAGCCGTGCAGAGCGGCATGATGCTGAGGCTGCTGGGAAGTGGAGAGAGAAGGGGGATTAGGGGAGGGAGATACTCCACTGTGGTCCAGGCAGGGTGCTGCTGGGAGGGAAGGGAGAAGGGAGAGAGGAGGAGGTGAGTGAGAGGGTGGTCTCCACTCTCCTGCCCTTGCTCCAGTGCTCCCACCTTCAGCCTGCAGGAGAGAAAGGGAGGGAGAGAGAGAGGGGAGGGAATCAGATCACCACACCTCACCTGGTACCATACCAAACCTTTTACCACACCTCGCTCACACCATGCCTAGCCTAATCTCCTGCCCAGTCCCCCACCCCCCCACCGCTGCTGCGCTGCTGCTTCTGCTGCTGACGGTCTGCTACTCTGCTTCCTCTGCTGCACTCTTCTCTTGATGCCGAGTGACCTGGTGGCAGGCAGAAAAGGGGGTGGGGGACAGGAGAGAAAGGGCAGAAGGTTAGTGATGTGACGTGAACAGAAGCACACTAGTCAACACAGAAACGCATAAGCTGACAAAGACAAGAAGGGCTAAATGCAGAGAGAACTGAAGCAACAACACTCTAAGGAGGGAGGTAGCGCACCTTGAGAGGCCAGCCCACCCCAATACTCTCCCTTGGGGCACCAACTGCAAGCTGCTGCAGTGCTGCCGCCCTCCCATCCCCGTGGGTACCTGCACGGCCAAAAGGGAGGGGCGTGGGGGAGTGTTGGCGTCGACCCACACGCCCCTCCCTCCACCTGCAACGCGCACACGCAGAGATAGTGAGTGTGCAATCATAACACAATGCTGAGATGGCAGCTGGGACTACAAACGCAGGGAAGTGGAGGGAAGGGGAAACTGGTGGAGGGAAGAATCACAAGCCACGGACCATCGAGGGAACCTGAAAAATGAACCTGAAAGTAGGGGGTAACCTGAGGGGGGTGTAAGGCCTAGGGATGGCTTAACCTGAGGGGCTCCGGAGCTAAGGGGGAGGGTCTGTGGCTTGCAAACCGGGCCCCAACCAGTGGCGAGTTCTTAGGGAAAAAAGGTGGAAGCACATGCGAAAATGATTCAGGGAGCAACGTGAGGAAAGAGCAGAAAGCAAGGGTGATACAAGAGAAGAGAAGGCACTTAACTGGCAGCTGAAGATGTTGACTTCAGCTCCTCCCTCCCCTCCACTCCTGCTGCTGCTGCCGCCGCCACGCTGCTGCTGCTGCTGCTGCTGCTGGCACCGCCACTGCCGCGGCTGCTGCAGCCGGGGAGAGGCGCGGGTAAGCGCCGGTGTTGACCCCAGCGCTCCTCCCCTCCACCTGCAAGGAGCATGCACAGAGCCTGTGATTGTGCAATCACGGGATGAAGCTGAACTGGCAGCTGTGAGTTTGAAAGAAGCGCATGCGAGGGGAGGGGCCACTGGTGAAGGCGAGAGCACAAGCCACAGACCTTTGAGGGAACCTGGGGGAATAAACCTGCTGTAGGGGTTGTACCTGATTGGGCTGTAAAAGTCTAGGGAGGGCTTAACCTGAAGGAATTACTAGGAGTAAGGGAAGGTCTGTGGCTTGTGAACCAGTCCCCAACCAGTGGCAAGATTTCAAAGATTAAACACTGAAGCCAACGCGAAAAGGACAAGAGTAATTCAGCATGAGCAGTGAGAAGCAGGCAAGAGTGAGTCCAGGGAGGCGAAAGCACTTAGCTGGCAGCTGAAGAAGCGCCAAAAGATGCCGCCTTATGTCCCCCTCTCCCCTCCCCTCCCCTGCTGCATCAGCGCTCCCCGCTGCTGATGCTGCCACAACTGGTCCCGTCAGCTGCCTCTGCTGCATTGCGAGTGACCTGGAGGGGGGCAGAACGGAAGGGAAGGCCAGGAGGGGAGTGAGTGCAGGCCTTGAAACAGGCAAAGGCGAATCAAAGGGACGAGCGCGAGGGCAAGTTAGCAGAAAACCAGTGCAGCGGCAAAGAGAGGTATGAGGCTTACCTTGAGAGGCCAAGCCCATCCCGATACTCTCCCTTGCTGTAGTGGGATTGCCATGCTGCAGTGCTGCCCCCCTCCGGTCCCCACAAGTCCCTGCACGGCCACAGGGGAGGGGCGCGGGGAAGCGTCGGTGTTGACCCCAACGCCCCTCCCCTCCACCTGCAACGCACACACATGGCGGTGGTCAGTATGCATGGTATGGGCACAACACAAGCCAGAGACCGGAAACTGCCAAATGTGGAAGAGAAAAGGAGGGTCACTGGTTAAGGCAAGGGCACACGCCACAGACGCCAAGGGAACCTGCACCTGATGGGGGGACCTGCACCTGAGAGGGTTACCTGCACCTGAGGGGGTTACCTGCACCTGAGGAGATACCTGAAGTGAGGGGGTCTGAGGCATGTAAACCGAGCTCAACTAGTGGCATTGTTTCAAAGGGGAAGGGCGAAAGCACAGCCGGCAAATGAAATGGCAGCAAGAAAGCAACAAGCCATGATGTGGCGGGCAAGGGTGAGGGCATGGAGGAGGGTGACTTAGCTGATAGCGTGAGGGCGAGCTCAAGGCAGCTGCAGCCCCACCACCAGCAGCCCTCATCCAGGTGCCTCCTCCCTGCACGGCCACAGGGGAGGGGCGTGAGGGAGCGTCGGTGTTGACCCCACACCCCTCCCCGCCACCTGCAATGCGCACACACAGAGCTAGTGAGAGAGCGGTGGTGGGAGCAAGTTGAAGGGGAGACTGTGACTTGAAATCCAGCGCAAGGGAAGGCAGGAGGAGCCACTGGTTGAGGCACGGCCACAAGCTGCAGACCCAAGGGCACCTGAAAAAGAACCTGAGGGGTGTACCTGCACCTGAGAGGGTTACCTGAAGAGTGGGGGTCTGTAGCATGCGAGCCGCGCTCGACCAGTGGCTAAGTTTCATTGAGACGGTGCAACGCAGATGAAACAAACGAAAAAATGCTGGAGGCAAGGGTGCGGCCATGGGGGAACGGGTACTTGGCTGATTGTGTGGTGCAGGCGGAGGGGGTGCTTCAATGGAGAGTTGGCAGGGCGAGCGGGGCTTGAAGGGACTGACCTGCGAGGCAGAGGAGAAGGGAGAGAGAGATAGAGAGATAGTAAGGGAGGAGAGAGCGACTCTTTTAAACGAGAAGACAGGCAACAGAGCGAGTGCAAAAAGGACGGTGCATGTGACGCCAACCACAACCCCACAAGAGCCGCTACCAACCTGAACCTGCACCTGAGGGGGAGTGGGCTCGAGTGGAGTGTGGTGGCAGGGGCGATACTGCAACCTCAACCGTTGATGCAGAGTGGGCGCGGTGGGGAGGGGTTGAAAGAATGGACCTGCGAGGCAGAGGAGGTGGAGAGAGAGTTTGTGCATGGCAAGTGGGAGGGAGCGGCCGTTGCAAGTGAGAAGAGCGCGTGACAGCAGTGTGAGTGCAGAAACGACGGTGCACGTGATGCCGCCCACAGCCCCACAAGAGCCCCTACCAACCTGAACCTGCACCTGCACCTGAACCTGCACCTGCACCTGCACCTGCACCTGCACCTGCACCTGCACCTGCACCTGCACCTGCACCTGCACCCAACCTGAACCAGGGGGAAGTGGGGCCCTTGTGGAGTGTGGTGGCAGGGGCGATACTTGCAACCTCGACCGTCCATGAGGCCCGGCGCTGCTGCCCCGCTGCCCTGCTGCCCTGCTGCCCGCCCTTGGCGCCCCCCTCGCCTCCCTCCTCGCCTGCTGCACTCCCCTCGCTTGCTGCTCGCCTTGCGCTGGGCTGGCAGGAAGAGCGGTGAGGGCGGGCAGGAAGGGGAGGGAGGAGGAGGAGTGGGGGGCGTGGAGGAATGAGTTGAAGTCCAGGAACAGGAGGTGGGTGGGTGGGAGAGTGAGAGCTGAAATTGGTAATGCGGGTGATGCGTGCATGATGTGGGTATGATGTGAGCATGAGCATGAGCATGAGCATGAGCATGAGCATGAGTGCACAGCCAGGGCGATCACACTGCAGACCTCAGACGGACGGACGGACGGACGGACGCAGGCAGACGGACGGACAGCTAAGCAGGACGCCTAAGCAAGAGCAGACGCGTAGCTGATGCTAACCCACACGTAGGGGAAGAGACAGGGAGGTCTGCAGGTTCGCCTTGGGCTGGCATTGAGTGGCGAGTGCGGTGAGCAATGGAGAGAGGAAGAGACGCGAGGCGAGGGTACTTATCTGCGCGCAGGGGGAGAGGCAGCTCCATGGCGAGTCGAATTGCGAATGGGGTGGGACGTCCAGCCGTGGTGCTTGCGAGTGAACGCCACGTGCTCTCTTTTGCCTCGCTGCCTTGCTCACGTGCCACCCACTGCTGCCTTGCACCCGCCTGCTGCTTCCTGCACAGAAACACAAAGAGTATTCAAAAGCAAACTTCATGGAACAATGAAATAGCTTCGACAATGTTTAAAGGACGGAACATGGACGAAACGAGTACGATTGCGGAGAAATGAACTGATCTAACAGAAGGGTTGATGGCTTACCGCGGAATGGCGATGGAGGGAGCAGGCGAAGGGGTGGCGCGTGGCAGTGGGTGGACGGATGGACGACGCGTGGCGAGCGGAGAGCAGCAGCGGTGGAACCATTTGAATGACGATCACGATTTTCGCAGATCGCTTCAGGCTTAAATTGCCTGGAATGGAAAAGAAAGAACGAAATTAATAGTGCTCATAAGCGATCGCGAATCGAGGATAAGAGGAAGGACATTTCAGCGACGATCAACCATAATCGACAGCAGTAAGCAGAAGACGAGAGTGAGAGGGAGGGATACGAACGTACGGATCAGGTTCAAGTCGCGATGCGGTCGTGGAGACGACGAATCGACGACACATCGGCATCACGTGCGCGATCGCTTGAGCGTGCAGCGTCGAGTGGAATTTCGGCAGCAGATGACGGCGAACGAAAGTCGCGATGTGCTCTTCGAGACGGAAAATCGACAATAGGTCCGTCCGCTGTCAACGAATCGGCATCGGGGTGCCTAATCTGACGACGAATCGGAAATGCCGTGACGATCGATCGAACCGCAGCTGAAACAGCTTCGTCTGAAAGTGCAGCAGCAGGTGACGAGGAATTGGAGATGCACGCAGCAGCAGAGTCGTAGCCTAGCCGATCTGAATGAAAAGCGTAAACTAGCCGGTCTGAACGAGAACGGGCGAAAGGGAGCTGCGAAATGTGGAGGGAGAGGTGGAGGCAGCAGTTTGGGTGGGATTGTGGCAAGGGAGTTGCGTTCGCATGCGGAAATTTGAGTTCACATGCTCAACTTGGGCGTCTCCGGGGATGCGTAGCGTAGAAAGCCGTTGCGAGGAATACTTTCAAGCGCGAAAATGTGGAGATTCGAATGGGATCGTCCGAATCAGCAGCGCCTATGCCACATGGCCGGTCGAAATCAAACCAGGGGGCCCAAGTTAGTGACGTGGGTGGCCTATCGACCCCAAACGCTGCCAACTAAGATCAGATTTTTCTTGGGGGGTCACTAAGCTGTCGTGAGGGTTGAAAGAGCGCGAAAGGTGGTGGCTCGAAGGGGTAATTTTCGCGGCGGGCCGAAGCGCAGCGGATATTAGGCCGCGTAACTTTTTCACCTTTCATCGTCCGGACGGAGGCCCCGTCCGGACTTCTGTAGGGTAACTAATTTCGTAACAGTCCGTTTAGATGTTCGCAAGACCCCCTGCGACGTCGCTACCGTCCGGACACATCTGACACTTTTCTGCCAAAAAGTGGTCCGGGCTAACCTGCTGACTCCGTCCGAACGGCATTTCGGACGGTCCGTTTTATCTGCGCTGTGATTCGGCCACGAATTGAATGATTTTCCAACCAATAGGATGCCGTCAAATTTTGGTGGCGAAATCTCCAAGTGCTATACGATTTCTGTAATGCGTGTTATTATTCGTGGCGAGATTCTACATTTTCGATAGGGGAAAAAGTTGCACAATTGTGGTCCGGACCCCCTACCGTCCGGACCTGCTTCCCAAACGTCCGGACGGAGCTCCGTCCGGACGTTTTGGGGGCTCCGTCCGGACATCTGCCAAAAAGGGAAAAAGTTACACGCCCTTAGAGGCGAAAGTAGGATGATGAATGGTCTGTTGGTGGCAGATCTGGCGGGAGAGAGCTGCGGCTGTCAGAGCGGAACAAAGCTGCTTGTGGGGGATGGGAGTGGCTGGAGCTGGAATGTGAGCACTCCAGCGGATTTACTGCCTCGAGGTACACCACATGGATTTCTTACCTCATGCATGAGTTATAATGTTTCTTGTATAACGTTGTATTATGTGGACTTGATACAAAGATATACAGTGACTGCAGCGAAAGTAAACCCACGTTCACCTGGCCCCCTTGCCACCTTGCCGCCTTGCCGCCAACACCAGACTTCGTCGTCACGGAACGGAATCTGGTTGCTCCATAATCTCACAAAGAAGTTGGGTTGTCCGTGGACTTCTGAGAGACCTGCCGATGTGCTCCACGTGTCCAACTCCATCGTCGTGCAATGAGGTTGTGTCAGGGGTGTGCTGGAGTTTTTCCAAGGGTAAATGCTTAATAATATGTAACTTTTTCGGCAATATGAAGTCTGTTTGTTTCGTAGTGCCGACCGGGGCCAGAATCGGGTCTAGACATTGCGATTGTCAAGTGGTCGCTGATGATAGATAAGAAAATTTCGGTGATGGTCCAACAAATTTGGGCCGAACAATTTTTCAGAGCGCCTGCTGCTGACGTCTCCCGCGCGGAACATTCAAAAACTGCGCTTCGTCCGGATAGACCCCAGCGCAGCATCAGCGGCTGCGATGGACTCCGTTCTGGTGGCGAAAGTCGTCTGAAGGTTGGCGCTGTCATGAGGCGGGCGGAGACCAGCGGAAGCCTCTGTTTTGGCGACTCCTAGCAGCATGCAGCCTTCCCGAGACCAGGTCAACGGGGACATTCCCAAGGCCATTCCAGTCACCTCACCTCAGCCAACTTCCAGTCACTTCCTCAGCTTTCCATGGCTGCTCTCGAAATTCCTCAAAGATGTAGCTAATCGCATACTAATTTTGTTAGTAAGCGCATATTCATCACAAACAAGCCTCGTTTCGTTTTGCGGGGGGTTGGGAAGTTTTGTGGGGTTGGAGGAATTGGTTTCGCGATGAATTTTCAGTTGTGTCCAATCCCTGTCCAGAATCTCCCGCGACCCACATTCGAGCCGCCTTGGCCTGAGATTGCTCCAGTCGCGCCAAAACACATTTCGCGTCAGCTTAGGGCGCGGTTCGGGTTCGATAAGGGACCAGATTTGGTCCAACTTTCACAGTACCTATGTAACTCCAAAAATGGTCCAATTTCAGGCACCAGTATACAGTTGCAACATTTGAAGATGTGAAGAAATACATTCTAATGAATACATCCTTGCCAATGTATCTTTCATATTTTCCTTTTTTTCATCTTTAGGTTTTAAAGCTTACGAAGATATCAATCTTGCATGATGTTTTAGACATGTCAAAATATTTGAATACCCGGTTTACACATCATTTGCTGTTTTATAATCAGTTCACTGGAGGAATAAGAGGAGAAAAACACACACTAAACAAGAAAAACATGTGTAGAAGCCACATGTTTGTACCTGATACTCATCACCTCAATTGATACTTATTAAGCAAATAAGCAGTATCACTATGGAACGCCTTGATCACGTGCACCTCCCTGTAGATTGATTCAATGTCAATCACAGAATACAACGATCGACCGGGAGTCCATCCAAGTCGGGTGCATCCAGTTTTCGCATCCTCTCCCGTTCTTGACCAATACTTAACATATGCGAGCTCCTTCTTGCAACCATCAACCACTGCATGGAATAGGAGCAAGAGCTTTCCATACCACTCAGTATCGCTCCCATCTTGTGCTGTCCCTTTGACCGCCACATCCGAAAACCATGGCCGTGAGTATGAGTCGGGAGCGGCCCTCACAAAATGAGCGACACGTGAAAAGTGCTCTCCCTCGGCTGCTGGAATGGCCATTGTTGTATGCGCCTGCAAGATGAAAGCATTCCAGAAGAAAGACTCCCTGATGTGGTTTCCATTGGCATGCTCCTGCAGCACCCCGAAGCCACCCAACGCCAGCGCCAGCTGTGGGGTCTTGGTGTCTAATGCCTCCCACATGGTCCACACCTGAGGGGAAGCATATAGGGGTAAGGGGAGAAGGATTTGATGCTGCTGGTGGCTGGTGGCAGCCCGTGCGGCAGAGGCGCACTGAAAAAAAAAAAACGGTTCGCCTCATGAACAACACCTGGGGGGCAGAGGGAGATGGAGAGGAGGAATTGGGACGGGCGTGAGGAGTGAGTGTTGCTAAGGGCTGGGTGCCGTTTGTGCAGCGGTGGCGCTTTGGAAAAAAAAGTGATTGCCTCATGATCAACACATATGGGCAGAGCGTGGTAGGGTTGAGGAGTGACAGGGTTTTGGGCGTGAGGATATAGTGCTGCAAGGGGCTGGTGGCAGAGGGAGATGGGGACAAAGGGGAAAACACGTTTGCCTCATTATCAACAACTGGGTGGCAGATGGAGATGGGGAGAAGGGGGAAGGTGGCTTGGTGTGAGGAGATTATGCTCGTGTGGCCTGGTGGGAGGTCGTGAGGCAGAGGTGGATTCAATCCAGTGCCCTTTGCCCCATGTTTAGCATCTGGAGGGCAGAGGGAGGTAGGGATGAAGGGGGAAACTGGTACGGCGTAAGGAGTTTAGGGTCTTGTTCTAAGGTGCCTCGGCCCATGATCAAGTTCCCGGGTGAGCACACGCATTAAGGAACGATGGAGGAATGGGGAAGGGCATTAGGATTGATGCTGCTTGGGCTGGTTAGCAGACGCATCAGGGCTAAATCAGCTTGTTCTCACAATGTTCTTCACCTAAGGGGCAGAGGGAGATAGGGGAGAGTGTGGCAGTGACGGAGGGAGGAGGGGAGTGAAGTAGAGTGGATCAATTGGGAGGGAGGAGAGGGAGGATGGATGAGGGAAGGCGGGATTAGTGCACAAATGAGGACCCTGCTGTGTGTAGTAGTATCTCTCCATTGCGATGGAAACACATTGCATGCGATGCAATGGGTGGAATCGAAGGATTAGGATGCCATATTAATTGACATAAAGAACATAATGAGCATGCATGGGGTGATCCAGTGAGTATGACGCATGAGCTCCTTACCCGAACCTTGCTTGGCGTCAGGCTAGCACGTGTTAGTGCCCCTTTGAATGCGGCATGTGCCTCGGGGTGCTGCTCGCTCCACCCCTTCACGAAATCGTTCGTAGACTCGGTGGCCCCGGTTGGTTCTACCGGGAAGAAGTGTGACTCCTTGGTCATCACACGGATTCCTTCTTCAATGGCCTGTACGTAAGACACAATAATTGGTGAAAATCGCACCATTACAAATGCTAGTGCACGAGTTACACTCGGGTCCATACCGTTGCCATAGCGGTTTCTCGGCCATGGTCCGACTCCTCGTCCTCCCACAAGTCGAGTCGTTGTTCGTGACGCTTCATTATCTGTTTGTCGGCGTCTCTTTTGTTCGTACGGCGGTATATCTGTTTCAAGAGAACGCTGTGCAGGTGCTCAAATAGGTTCGTGCTATACTCTTGCACATAACCTGCCCTTCGAATGACAGGAACGAAATGCGTCATCAGGTGCGTTTTGATCAAGTTCCACTCTGATTTTTGGTCGGGAAATGCTTTCACCAATAGCTTCACGAGCCTGTGTCAAAGAGGGGAATTTGGAAAAACAGGCATGCCATTACGCCAATGACAGAACTGGGCACTCCAACGGCCCCGCATTGAGCCTAGGTCACCCTTGTGCAAGTGGTCTTTGCGTGCGCATTAGCATACCTGCCTGCTTTCCGCTGTAGCTCTCGTAGGCTGGCCTCGGTATGAATGTGGCTGTTACAGCAGCTATACCAGTCAAGGTACGCGCGTATCGCCTCGAGTTGTGGTGCATCCAAAATATCTGCCACTAGGAATATTAAAACCTGCAATCATGGGGATGTGACATGAGGGCTCATGGGTCTGCCCAAGCATATTGGCCATGGGAATGGAGAAAAGGACTGCTGTGGGATGTTGTGGGGATGTGACACACGTGGTAGAAATGTCAGGCAGGCTTTGTGGGTGACAATAAGCGTGCCGCGGCATCATGTACATGGTAAGAGAGAAAAGGCAGGAGGGTGGGATGATGTGTGGATGGGACATGGGTGCAAGATAATCCAGTCAAAATCATGGCTGTGGATAACAAGGTGCGCGTACAGGACCACAAAAAGAAACAACTTTGTGGGCGAAATTTCAGACTTACGATGGGGGGGGAGGGGAACGGTGGAAGGTAAATAAGACTGCGTGTGACCGTGGTGTGAAAGAGGCATGAAATCACTCACTAAATCAAAGTTCCAAAACATGGCTGACCCTCATCCTTACCTGCATGACTGCCCTGTGTTGGAATGCTGGGACCGTAGCATTGCTTTCAAAGTATTCCTTCTCCGGGAACCGCATCGAGTTGATACGGGTGGCTTCTTGAACAATTTTCAGCCTCCTGTTCAGGGGGAGTGGCTGGAGTGGTTGTTAAAGGAAACTTAATGAGAGTATCGAAACAAGTCCGCCCAAATTTCTGAACTGAGTTAGTGCTGGAAGGTCGATGCATGCAGCCATGGCAACAGCACCTAACCAGCAGATTAGGGACGTACTTATCAAGCTTCTTCACCGCCCTTGGCACTGCCTTGCGAATGCACTTGATAATGTGGTCCAGTATCCCCAAATCCGCCATATGCATGATATCTGGCATAACTGCTAGACAGGGGTTCGCCCATGGATGACCATTTATAGCCCATTGCCACAGTGCGCACTGCCAAACAATGGGGAGCAGTATAAAAGGAAGTTATGGGAAAGCATACACATACAACATTACATGGGCAACACAAGTTACAAAGTCTGTTCAGAAATCACAAATCCCCAAAATTAACGTCATACGAAACACTAACGATGTCCATAAAATAAAGTCAGACTATGATTCATCTGGATCTTTGCACCTCACCCCAACTAGCACATCCATGAACACGCATGCAAGAGCTCACCTCAACGTCAAACGTTGAGTATTTCGATAGAGTGCTGTCATCATCAGATGTTTCCCCCTCTGCCTGAGACAACACCCATTGTTGCTGTTCTGGAGTGCGTACAATATGTTCCATGTTGACTGATGAGAGGTTGTCCTGCCGCAATAAGAAAAACATAGCAACTAAAATTGGGCCACTAAAAGGTATAGAGAGGATAGGTGACCAAGGTACAAAGGGGTAGACAAAGACATGCCATAGTTAGAACAGGAGGCGATGTTAAAGGGAACCCATTTACCCCCTGCTGCAACACCTAAGGGTCAGTGGGAGATTGGGAGGAGGTAGGAAGGGGAGTGGGGATGAGGATTTCATGCTGCAAATGGCTGTTGGCAGCACGTGCCCCACTGGCGCTCTGAAAGGGACCCTGCTTTCCCATTGCTCCACACCGGAGCAAGATATGGAGAAAGGGACGAGGTATGCAGGAAAGTGGGGATGAGTATTTGATGCTGCTGATGGCTAGTGGCAGCATGTGCAGAAAAGTAGCGCTTTGACAGGGATACCGTCTACCCCTTGCTCCACACCTGGGGGGCAAAGGGAGATAGGGAGGAGGTAGGAAGGGGAGTGGGGATGAGGATTTGAAGCTGCCAAGGGCTGGGGTCAGCATGTGCAGCACTGGCCCTTTGCAAGGAAACACGTTTACCCCTTGCTCCACACCTGGGGGGGCATTGGGAGATGCGGCGGAGGGAAAGGGGGATGGGCGTGAGGATTTGATCCTGCTAAGGTTTAGTGGCTGCTCATGCTGCAGCTGAGTGTTGTGCCGGAACACAAACTCACTGAATAACCAGAGATCACATTACCCTATCCACGTAGCAAATGCTGCAAGGCTTCATGCAGCGCTGGCCGGAGAGTGTGCATGTCAATTTGCCCGATTCTGGGTAGTCAGCTGCCCACCCGAGCAGCAGCGGTATCACCTTGTGCTCGACACCGTTCGCATCCTTCAGTAGTACACCCCTGCATATGTCACACAACAATACGGCTGTTGGACCGAGTTACAAGCGCATCATGTCCAGGGGGCAGAAACCTACAATCAGAATGCAAGTAAGTACACACTTATGTCTGTACAAACATCTCATCTTACCTCTCTTTCAGCTGAACCAGAGGTTCCATCAACTTGGCCACGCAGGTGTTGAAAATCTCAACCTTCAGGTCATTTGGCATGTCTTTGGGAGGTATAGGGAGCATTGCTAGCAATGAATGCCCTGCTGGACCCCACCGCTTAGGAAAAGGGATGTTGCCAAGTGTCATCATAGCTGGATGGGCCTGCTTTTTGCCATTACTGCTGAGGTGCGTGACGTCGCTGTAGAAAATGAGAGCGGCTATCACAGCATCAGGTCCCACCAATTCCTGCGTGCAAAATTCAGGTAGAAAGCATAGTTGGGTTTCAGCCGAGGATTTCCCGGGTTCACATAGGGGAGGAGATAGTAACCTTGCACTTGAAGCCAAGAAACTGGATGGCACATCTAAAGCTCAAATGTACTTAGAGACTAAACACAACATGGGACAACGTACCTGAGCATCATGCCACCATGTCCCAGTCTCTGCTGTGGTGTAGGCACGCTGTCGACTATCCGAATCGACCTCCTTCCGTGGCCTGAAACGAAAGCCGCTGGAGTTCTGTTTGGCAGACCACATGTCTCCCAGAGCCTGAAAAAAACCCATGGGGGCAAACATACGCCGGGCACAAATGGGTAACACAGCAGGGATGCAGCAAGGTAGCAGCGAGTACAAGGCCAACAGAGCAAGTACTAGCAGGCTACCGTGCTACTAACACGTTTACTAGACCTGAGAACAATGCACGACGCCACATGAACATGGAAGTAATAAATGGGTACATGGCGGATATAGCAACAGGGAAGCGAGACATGGGAGCAGGGAAGTAGGACATGGGAACATGGCAGGGAGACATGGTATCACGGCAAGTTGACATGGGAATAGGAAAGAGAGTCCCAGAATCAGAGAAGCATGTGTTGGTTTGGCATAAGAGAAGTGAGTCATGTGAGCAATGGCTAGGAGACATGATAATGCGGCAGTGTGGCATGGGAATACTACAGCGAGACATGGAAACAGGGAGGCTAGACATGGGAGCAGAAAACTGAGGCATGACAGCAGGGAACTGAGACATGCGAGAAGGGAAGTGAGGGATGTGAGCAATTGAGTCAGACATGGGAGAAAATGAATGAGGGAGCTAATAAGTGGGACATAGCAACAGGAGGTGATGATGGTAACATGGCATGGAGACATGGTATCACGGCAGTGTGACATAAGAACAGGGAAGCGATACAAAGAAACAAAGAAGCGAGACACTGCAGCTGGTGAGAGGGAAGGGAAGGGAGACATGGAGATCAGGGGAGGAAGACACGGCAGCAGGGGAGAGAGCAGGGAAGGGAGACATGACATTACTTACGTGGAGTGGATTTCGGTGCAGCATGACCTGATCAGGCCAACCCTCGACCACGATGGTGGTTGTCATGTAGCCGCGCCCGGTGCTTGCCAAGTACTCGAGATGGAGCCTTTCAAGATCGCGCGAGTTTGAAATGTTGGCGTCGACGAGGTTCTTTGCTAATTCGGGATGCAATAGAAGCTGCAGCAGTCGGTTTGTATTCATCTTCGACAGTCCGTCACCCCCATTCACGCCGTCCACGAGCTGCAGCAACTTTAGAAGCGCTGGGGTGATCTTCACACTTGGAGATGATGATGCAGATGTGTCCGCCCCGCAATCTGGTGGCGGTGCAGGGGGGATTACCGACGGTCCCTCCTCTACGGGATCGGAGGATGTGGAGGTGGAGGGCATATCCTCACGAGCGCCCATCTCGCCGTCTCCAGCAGACACTGGAGACGCCATCTCAGCATCGCGATTGGCCTGTGGAATGTGTGATTGCGGGCGTTGTGAGGTGCTATCATCTGCAGCGTCCACCCTACGTCTAACGCAGCGCCTGTAGGTAGGAGCAGGGACGGCATACACGACCCCAACACCTCCGTGCGCAGAGGTGTCTGGTGCTCCTCGCCGTGATCGCCGTCCTCGCCATGGCGCGCATGGCGAGTTTCCGCCTAGATGCCCGCCCAGCACTTGCGCATTTGGTCAGCATAGGCCGCATACGCTGCAGAAACAGGTCTCCGCGCAATCCATCTAATCAATAGCATAATATGTTCGGACCCGTGGCGATTGGTACGAGATCTAAGACGCCCGCATAATGGCATCAGTATGCCTACTAAACACGAAATGACCAGAGAATGGAGTAGCAGCTGGTGGACGCGAAAACACTCGGTCGACGTGACTGTAGTGATTGCCATTGTCGCGCCACGCCTACAGTGGAAGCTAGTAGTTCTAAAAGGGAATGGCGGGAAAAAAACGCCAGCGGCATAGAGAGATTGGCGACGCCTGACGCAGCAAAGCGCATTAGGGTTTCTCATGGTTGGGTGGTAGCGTGCCTTGGAGGGTCGGAAATTCAAACTTAGGAAAACTCGGACACACGAATCTGTACCCTATATAGCTGAACCTAATCAACTATATTTGCTTGAGGTAGATACTAAACTATCAACTTTGGTTGAAAGTCCAACTACGCAGTTCTAATTTGATGATTACGTCTGTCTGATCTACACACAAACAATACACGTACCATCATGCTTGCTAAACACAAAATGACAACGCTAAACCATGATACAATTGTACGCCATCCAATGTTCAAACGGCACAGCGTGTTCATCAAGCCTATCATGGCACATTATTCAACTAACCTTAATGAAAGAGTTGGAAACATGAGAGGGATCTAGAATTATTGCAAGGCGTGCCTCCCCCAAAAATCAGAGCATACAGAGTAGTAGAGGTTGGAGAAATCACCAGAAGTGCATAATCAGCAACGTCGCTGGAAATGTAACTGTTGCATACAGAGCCAGGCATGAAATACCTATCTAACCTTGTTGGAAAGACCTGGAAACTTGTGAGGGATCTAGAACTAGTGCAAGGAGTGCCTCATCCAAAAATCAGAGCATGCAGAGAATTAGAGGTTGGTGAATTCACTAAAAGTGCGTAAGCAGGCAACGTCGCTGGAAGTAGAGCTGCTGCATACAGAGCAAGGCATGAAATACCTATCTAACCCTTTTGGAAAGACCTGGAAACTTGTGAGGGATCTAGAAATAGTGCAGGGAGTGCCTCATCCAAAAATCAGAGCATGCGGAGCAGTAGAGGTTGGTGAATTCACTAAAAATGCGTAAGCAAGCAACGTCGCTAGAAGTATAACTGCTGCATACAGAGCAAGGCATGAGATACATATCTAACCTTGTTGGAAAGACCTGGAAACTTGTGAGGGTTCTAGAACTAGTGCAAGGAGCGCCTCATCCAAAAATCAGAGCATGCGAAGCAGAGGAGGTTGGTGAATTCACTAAAAGTGCGTAAGCCGTCAACGTTGCTGTAAGTAGAATTGCTGCATGCATAGCAAGGCATGAGATACATATCTAACTTCTGTGGAAAGACCTGGAACATAATCATAGTGGTTATGGGACATTGATGACATTGTGAGGCGAATGCATCTCAAGCCATCATCCAACCTAAGAGCAGTGTTTGGGCATTCTGACTGCTGGAGTAAGACAATTTGACCATAAAAATATTGGCTAGTTCAAAATATAACATAAAAAGAAAACCCATATATTCGGCCAAATACGAGGCTCCCACATCTTGTATGAGAGATTTAGAACTGTATTATTGTTACGAGTGCAATTGAGTGAACGAACGAGGGTTGCACTATCGAAGCAAGAGTCCAATGAGCGAAGGCATGAGCGAAGAATATATAGCGAAACTACAGTGGTAACGGTAATGGACTGTGGTTGTCGCGCGACGGGCCTGGGACTGAGGTTTGGGAAAAAGTGTCGAAGCGGAGGCCCGGAGCGCGGGTTACCCGCCGAGCCGTGAGGTCGGGGTGCGATGTGCGAAGGTGGCGGGCGGATTGTCGATGCGGGGATTGCGAGTGGTAACGGTGCTGACTGTGGTGCTACAGTGATGTACGCGTTGAGCAGGGATGCGAAGTAAGGAAAATGAATTTTCCTTACAATTATGCATAACACATCCATTATTGGACATGTCATCTTGTAACAATCAGGACTATCCCCTAAAGCCCAACTTTCTTCAACCATCGCTCATGAAGTGAGTTTGCGTCAGTGTGTGGCATATATGCTGAGCTGTCACGAAATGCTGTCATATTTTACCACAGGTCGAAGGATCGAAGCAAACACTACTGCGCATTTATGGTCTCTTTCGCCGCACTGTCGCGTTTCGTTGCTACGTTGTGCTAGCAGCCAAAACGACCCAGCTATCTTTGCCCGTGAAATTCAGTTAACTGTGCACGCGCATTAAATGCTGGCTTCAATTTACATGCGCTGGCAACTCTGTGCCACAAATTTCGGGACCTCACTTCTGTTTTTGCTGCCGTGTTGGAAGTGCGGTGAAAATCGTGCCACACTGTGCCCTTATCACCAACCTGCACTTACTGGATTATGCGCTTTATTGGCAGAATTGTGCCACACGTCGAAGTTCATGTTCGCCCCCAGACAAAAGGAATTAAACAGTGCGCGTTTTTGTTTCCTCTCCCCGCACGTATCTTTCTTGACTTTTACGATTTTAACGCTCACGAAATAGCTCACTCTTTTCGAGAGGGGATGAGTTTTGCAGACGCACAGGTCGTGAATTCAGTGCAGTGTGATTCTTTGCTGACCCATTTCACGCCTCGCGATGGCAGCTATCGTCGGGTAACTAAACATGCCAGCGACGACCTGTGCCGTTTTCAGAGCTGGCTGAGTCAGCCAGGTCCCCACCACCTGCGTCAGTCTAGACCTGCCTCGTTTTGCTGTACAGAAGGTTCTTACGTAATGGTGGTGGCAGGGAAGTTCCAGGCTGGCCTAGCTCGCGTGCCTGTGTCACGACAGAAGCGAAGTTCTTTGTTTGGCACATCCATTTTACCGAGCAAACATCCGTTCTTGTTTTATTCTCTGCAACAACTGAAATAGCTGCCCGTATGCTGTGCTGGCATCGCTGTGCCACACACAGCCAGCTAGTAACCGCGTAATGCAGCAGCGAGGTCCTAAACGGTTTTGGATGTTTCTGTAATTGCTAGCCAGGTGCATGGATTGGAAAGGACAAGCCCTGATACGTATGGATGATAGAAGACCCGTTCCCTTATTGTACCAGGTTTGAAGATGTCATATTCTGTTGATAAGAGCAATACAAAATCTTAGTACAGAGGGTTTGTTTCTTGGACATAACATGGAAAGGGGAGAAAGTACTAATATCTCGAATACGTCCTGAAGAGCACAACCCCCACGGATCTAACACCACGACTGATGGGGTCTAGCACGTTATTCCCATTCTACGAGCTTTGTCACCCCAAGCAATGGTTTCTCCTTCCTTCAGGAGCCTGCCTTCGCACTAGCTTAGACGTGTTTTCAAGCCCTTCACGTCAACCGCGCGCGCAGATACCGCGCTGCACGAAAGTAGCACGCTTCGACAAACGTGCCACGATTACGAGTAGAATGATGTCGGAGCGCACTCGGTAAGCCTTTGCTGACTTGTCGGTTTTTTACAAGTTTCCCATTCGCACCAGCCATCCCACTGCTGAAGCTAGCTTCATGTATCAGAATACATAAATGAGTTCTAC